GGTTCTAAAGGTTCTAGAGGTTCTACGTGGATCAAAGGAAGGAGTGAAGGGTTAATTAATGGATCAATGAGTCATTAAAAGCTGTGACATCACTACCTGAGCGTCGATGATCTTCTGTTTGGCTTCAATCACCGCCTGCATCTCTGCGTGGTCCCGCTTTAGCTCCTCCTCCACCGCCATCAGCCTGTACGCACGCACACACACACACACACACACACACACACACACACACACACACACACACACACACACACACACACACACACACACACAGTTAGTATTAAACCTGCAGTGTCTCTAACAGCCAGCAGGGGGCAGCTGCACTCTGATTATGGTTCATAAACTGTAAATAATCATAACAATTCACAGAAAAAGATTAAAATATATTTGCAAATCTATAAATGTCTTATAGATATTTACTGTTTATTTAATAGATTAAACTGTTAGTCAACTTTAATACTGTTAATGTTTATAAAATGATATAAAATCAGTGACATTAACAGTAAATAAAGTATTAGTTGTGTAATTTTAATGTATTAGTGAGTTAACTGACAGATATGTTGTATAATGATGGAAGTTGAATAAATGTTGTTTATCAGTGTATAAGGTAAACTGTCCAAATACAGTTGTTATCAGTGTAAACAGCAATAATTACTGTAATCTCACAGATAATGACTTTTATTACACTTCTATAACTTTTAACATTCACATTAAAATAATAACAATCCAATAATAACAGCACTCTGCTGTAAATGTAAGTCTGATTATTGTATTATAGCAGAGTTCACCTGGATTTATAGATCATTGTTTACACTGTAAATATCTTTAAACATTATAAATACAGATTATTGAGGGTGGAGTCCGTACCTGCAGATGATGCTCTTCATCTGGTTGTCCTTCTCCTCCTGCTGCCTCCTCAGCCGCTCCTCGCTGTCCTCCAGACGATGTTTGTACTCCTGCAGCAGCTTCTGCATCTGCTGCTCCTGAGCCAGCAGCCGCCGCTCGTACTCCTCCAGACGCCGACCCGACACCCGCAGGCGCTCCTTCAGCCGCGAGATCTCCAGCTCGTACTGCAGGAGGAGGAGGAGGAGGAGGAAGAGGAGGAGGAGGAGGAAGAGAGGAGGAAGAAAAAGAGGAAGACAGGTTTAGTTTCAGTACCGTTTGTATGTAACGAAGCTAACAGTAGCTATATCCGTACCTTCTCCGTGTTCCTGCCCTCCTCTCGGCTCCTCTCTCCTCCCTCCTCCTCCTCCTTCTCCTCGTACTGGCCGTTGTTGAGCACCCAGGCTGCCGTCCTCTCCACCGGAGACATCGCCACCGCCACCGCCTCCACCGGAGATGCCACCTGAAAGCAAACCAGTGACATCATCACACACCTGCAGTCACGTGACGAAGAAACGTTTTATTATTTTATTCAGACATTTATTTCCTGTTTCTAACTTCCTGCAGTACCTGCTGCGGCTGCTTGGTGGCGCTCCTCGCGGGCGGAGCCGCGTTCTCCACGGAGCAGGTGGACTGCTGGCGAGTGACGAGGCCGGCGGCGGGCGCGGGCTCCGTGTTGGCGCTGCTGCTGCTGCGTAGCGAGGCGCTGTGAGGGAGGGAGCGTGGTGTCCTGGCCCCGCCCCCTGCCCTGCTCTGCTGCTCCACCTTAACGATGTGGGCGGTGCCCGCCGTCGTGCTCTGACGGGGAATGGCGACTGCCGTAGCGGCGCCCGGTGGGAGGTCGGGCGGCGCGTGTCGGCGCGGCGTGGAGCACTCCTCGCTCTGCGTGCTCCGCCTGCTGCCCGACTCGTCCAGGCTGCTGTTGGACGCCACGCGGCCTTTGACCCCCACCTGGCTGCCAAAGTCGTCGGAGTTGCTGTGGCTGTTGTGCGAGCTCTCGGTGCTCAGGTTCTCGGAGCTGGAGTCGTGCCGCAGCGAGTGGGCGGAGCGTGCGGACAGGCTGTGGGCGGGGTTACTCAGGTGGTACACGGGGTTCTGGAAGGACAGCGGCTGCAGGCTGCGCTGCTGGCTGAGCGACGGGTGCAGCGGCCGCCTCACCTGCGGCGCGCTCTGCGGCTCTCTGGCCGCGGCTTTGGGCTGGTGGGGCGCCGGCTGGGGGGTGAGAGGGTTGGAGTGGGGGTAGTTGAGCAAGGGCGGGGTGTGTACGATGGAAGCCTGCGAGCCCACCCTGCTGAGGCGGGGCGGGGCCTCGTGGTGCGGCGGCGTCCCCGCAGCGCCGTGCAGGCTCTGGGCGTCCTGCAGGTCCACCAGAGAGATGCTGCGGCCGTTGGGTAGCACGCCGTCTCGCTCCTCCGGGTCCGAGAAGCTGGTGTGGGTGGAAGGGTGCTGCTGGGCCAGCAGGGGGCGCTGACCTCGAACGTAACCCTCGCTGACTGGAGACTGCAGGCTGCGGACCTCGCTACGGCTGCAGGAAGTGACAGGAGTTAAACCGCCATTTACAGCAGACTGCTGTTAGAAACTGAGTACGATTATCTGTTAAAGATCCTGATCAGTAATCAATACTCCCATTATTAAAGCACTGATCAACCTGATCAGCCTTTATCAGTTAGCTAGTGTTTCTGTAGTGGAGACTAAACGTTAACAATGATCCATATCAGCAGTTTGAATCCAACTAAAAGCTCCCTGCACCAAACTCCCTTTAAGAAATATCACATTTTAACAATTCCTAACGTGTTCGTATTTTAGTGATTATATTAAAATATTGTGAACTATTTGGACCGTATTGATCTGAATGATCAGCTGATTGGTTACCTGTCGGCGGGGTCCTCAAAGATCCGCTGTAACCCTGACGACAGGCTGCCGCTGATGTTGTGGGCGGAGCTGTGGTCCTGGAAGCGCCGCAGTTGCTGCTGGACGGGCGTGGGAGCGGCCAGACAGCGAGAGATGTCTCCCAGAATCCTCGGCAGCGGGCCCAGCTTTGCTACAGTGGCCTGCAGGAAGGAATTTTCACCCTGGGGTCGCCGTGTGTGTGTTTGTGTGTGTGTGTGTGTGTGGATGGAGGCACCAGGATGCGGTGGTGGTGGTGGTGGTGGTGGTGGTGGGAGAGCGACATGGCGGCAACAGAGAGAATTGGCCAGACAGGAAGTGGAGGAGGAGGGAGGAAAAAAACATGAGGGAAACTTAATGGAAACGAAAATCAACTATTGGACATGCTTCTACCGAACAGAACCACATCAAACAGCAGAGCCATGCTGAGCCGGAGCCCCGACAGGTGAGATAGGTGAGGCACAGCACAGCCAGGGGGAGGTGGAGGGTGAGGATGGGGGGGTTCAGGCCATGCTGTGAGGTTGAGCCACGCAGCGTTAATGTGGTTAAATGGACTGAAGTGACCTCCTGATGTTACATCATCACAGGTTTACAAACACACACACACACACACACACACACTGATCACTGATCACTGATCAATCACTGAACATTTCACCTCGACAGTAACCAGACAGGAAGTTAACGGGACACTAATCAATATAAATGTTAATTCAGAACTAACAGCTCTCTCCAGTTTTATTTTGATATCACAACCAACCTTTTCCAGACGCTGGTTGCAGGATTTATCAGAATGAGGACAAAAACTGGTTCATCTAGTTTAAAGTGAATACCAGGAAATTCTTCTTTAGCTGACAGTTAAAGGTGGTTAAACACACACACACACACACACACACACACACACACACACCTTGTCGAGCTGAGAGACGACCTCCCACAGCAGAGCGTGCAGGACGGACAGCTCGCGGCCGAGGTCGATGTAGCCCTCGAAGCCCGGCGTGTTGGACAGAGTCTCCGGGTTGGAGATCTCCGACAGGAAGCGCATCATCCCCGCCCACTCGTGCTCCAGGAAGTCGTTCATGAAGGCCATGTACTCCTCTTTGTTTCCAAACCTGCAGACATGGTCAGATATTTCTCTGTTACTCAGTGGAGTTTATCATCCGTTATGCTGATGATACACTGGTGTTTCTTAACTGTGTTCCTTTAAAACGTTGGAACCATATCTGTACAAATAGAACACAAAGGTCCAGGAATTGGCCCCTGTGGAACAGTCTCTAGTCACGCAGTATTGCTGAGGACCCAAAGAAATGCAGTCTGTCCAGAACATGGCGCTTTAACAACAAACTTTATGTTTTGACCTGTAACCTTTGAACCTTAAGTCTCAGAAACTTATGTGTTCATATAAGCTCAATAGCGCCTTGATCAATTTTCCGACATTTTGAATTTTCTCTGCAAGAAGCCGGAAAACGCACATTTTCAGGAGGCGAAGCAATCGGCTTGTTCTGAACCAGCAATGGATCAGTGACGATAAATGAGAAAAGTTGCCATGAATTTTGTGTTTTCCTTTAGATAAATAAACACATTACCACCACACATTTAATATGTGCCCCTAATGTTGAAACGAAACCTCTGGATCCTGATGGACCCTACAGACCTTCACAGCATGGACCTGCAGACACTCACTTGGTGAAGTTGGCGAGGTTCTGGATGACTTTGGCGATGAGCGTGAGCGTCCGGGACGTCCGGTCGTCCGGATATTCCTGCATCAGGTTGAAGAGCGATGGTGACATGATGGCGGGGCACAGGAAGCGCAGGAAGAGCGAGGCGCTGATCAGACGCTTGCTGATGTCCTGCTGGTGGCCGCGAGCGACGCACTGCTGCTTCCACGACGCAAACACTTCCTTCAGCTCCCGAGGAAACACACTGAGGAGACAGGAAGGAGGTCAGCAAGCACTGCGGGGAGGAAGGATCGGGTTTCTGCTGCTGCAGAGGAATCACTTAATGACTGCTGAAGCCTTTCAGTACGTCTGAAAGGAGAGAACGATGCACGTTCTGTTGGAGTAAAGCTTTTAGATTCAGGCGTCTCCTCCTTCTGTTTCTGGCTTTAAGTGTTTTACAAACTGAAATATGATTAAAACAAAGTGAGAACCGAATAATCGTTCATTCAACTCTGAGAACACATCAAACATATGAATCAGATCCAATTATTTAAACCCTTAAAAACATTTAATTTAAAGCTCCTCAGGATGTAACGATACAAAAGTTCCTTTATTTCTCAGACAAAAACCTATAAAACATATTTTCTTTAACAATTCATAGAATCTCTTTTTATTTATAAGGTATAAACTGTATAAACAATGTATATTTCCTGTTGTTAGTGCCTCTGTACAAAGACTGACAGCAGCGATGAAGGACGTTGAAAAGGCAAAATTAAAAGTAGAGAGCGCCCTCTGCTGTTTGAAAAGAGCGTCCCGATTAAATCTTTATCTCATTGATTAGCAATCGATATGTCTTTACATTATTGTTAAAAGGTTTTAGTTTGTGTTCAGCTGATTTTATTATTACTTATTACCAGTAGGAGTTGATGATCTTGCAGAAAGCGAGCTCGCAGCACATCTTCAGGTTACTCTGATGTTCAGCCAGATCGCCGCCGGAGCATCGACTGGGATCCACCTCGCAGTTCTCATCCGACTCGTACAGAGCCTTAATGAACTCACCTGGAGACAGACAGACGGAGAGAGAGACAGACAGACAGACGGACATTGTTGTTGAATGTTAAACTGACAAACAAAATTTTTAATAAAAAACAGAAATATTGACTGTAATGGAGGATTAAAGGTTTATAAATATCTATAACTACTGTAACAGGAAATATATTCAGAAGTAGTTTTTCATTAGCTGTAATATTATCAGTGGGTTGTTACAAAAAGGGACCTGGCTGTGAGCTAAAAGAGTGAAGGAAGAGGACAGTAAGTTGGCGCTGAGTTCATCAATCAAACTGCTTCCTCACTGAAAGTTGTTCTGGAGCAGCTGAAGTTTCAACGAGCTCAATGAGTTCAATCACAGCTCGCTGTCAAAATAAAAGCCTTTAAGTCATGTTACCAAACACACCGCAGGAAGTTTGAGTCTATTTCCAGACCTGAAGCTATAAATACATTAACGAGGGGAAATTATTAGTGTTTGTGAACTCTTTATTTTGTGTTAATAATAGCGTGAAGCGCTCTCACAGCTCGTGTTTATAGGTCTGTACTGACAGCAGGTCTCAGGGGTTCTGTGACAGTTCTGGTTCTGTCACAATCAGGTCCTTTTATTTCTGAAACGTTTGAGAACGAGAGAACTGAGCAGAATCACTCAGAGGAGGAGGAGGAGGAGAAGGAGGAGACCTAATGTACTCTAATTTTAGCATTCAGAAGTCCATAAAGACTTTGTGCATTTTAATCTGCACATTAAACATATTTACAGATCAAACTGTATTTTGAAGTGTTTCTTTGTGAAGATAATTACAGCTGAGCATTATTGATAACTTTATTGATAAATTATCTGAAATAACTTTCCACATGAAAATTAAGCTTTTGGTTTCTGCTCACATTTGACTTGAAAATCCAGATTTGTAACTTCAGTTACAGGATGGATGTTAATGTACGGTGTACAGTCCGCTGCTGCATATGCTAACTGTACTATCAGCTAGTTAGCGCTCCTATTAGCACAGGAGCTTTGGAGCGGCTGGAGAAAGAATGAGCCCCAGAACGAGAGTGGGTCTTTGTTCTGTTCCTTCCTGAGACTCACCGAGGGCGTCGTGCAGATATTTCTGTCCCACCAGTTTCAGATATTCCTCGATGGCTTTGGTAGCCAGCGTGTTCTCCCTGAAGATCAGCACATCGTGGTCGGCACAGCGGTCCACCTCCGACATCACCAGGTCTGTCAGGAAGTCCTGAACGGGAGGATGAAGAGGAGGAAGGATGTGTTTATGACAGTGTGTGTATGGAATTGGTACTTTAACCAATTACAAGGTTACTGTGGTTGCTGAGCTCTGACCTTTGCCCTCCCGGTGCTCTGCAGGATGTGGACCAGAGCGCAGGCCATCTCCTCCTTGTTCTTGACGCTGATGACGGGCTCCAGCACCGAGCACAGCATGGTGTAGTTGTTGGTGACGAACTCGGCGAACTCCTTGTACTGTTCCATGGGCAGGATGGAGATGGTCTGGAAGCGGGACTTGATGCGGATCGACGGCCCTCCTCCTTTGGCCTTGCTGGTGGTGGGCGTGCTGACCGGGTACCACTTCTCCACAAACTGCCGCCCCGTTACGCCCGACACCGGGATGTTGACCAGGCCCACGTAGTTGTTCTTGTCCTTCTTCTTCTTCCGGTCCACGTCGCGGTAGATGTGCACGGTGATGCTGTGCATGGCGGGCAGGCCGGAGAAGTCGAAGTGCTCGCCCCAGAACAGGCTGTCGTGGCGAGTCTTGCTGGTGGTCCGGGCGTACAGGACGTCGTCCAAACACAGCTCGCAGAAATATTTCTTCTTAGGCGGCAGGTCTTTGGCTTCAATGATCCACAGTCGCAGCAGGTTCTCCGCCCGCCGACAGTTGTCCTGGAAACACCGACAAACATTTAAACCATTTCACAAGATTCAAATTTACATGGATGCTATTTGATACACCTGATGAAATGTTCGAGGACAAAGTTTGATTTAGTTTCTGTTTGAATGAAGTTACGATGATCTGAGAGGTTAGAGGAGTGTTTTTGTCTCTGGAGTCTGGTGGAGAGTGATTACATTTATTACAGTTTCCACTAATATACCAACAACTGCCTTTGCAATGCACCATGGGTAAGGCAGAGTCTGTCTGTCTGTCTGTCTCACCTTGTTGGGCTGAATCGTCCTCCTCAGGTTTTCCATCCACTTGTCTCTCTCTGAGGCTGAAGTGCAGCTGAAACACTTACTGCCACCCGAGTACGTCACCTGATAGAGAGAGAGAGAGAGAGAGAGAGAGAGAGAGAGAGAGAGAGAGAGAGAGAGACATTTTCATTTTCACTGAAGTAATGGATAATGTTTGGATTCACTGTGCAGCAGGTTGTTGTTGAATGTGATAAAAGTACAGTAATCAACTGTTTAATTAGACTGAAGTCTTTATCAGTGTGAGTTTATATGTTATTGGATATGAAGACAGATTCATTTGGGTATATATTAATAATATAATGCAATAACATGGTAATATATCAGTGGTTCCTCCAGCAGAGGGCGATGTGATAGAGCACAGAGAGAGAGACGCTCTCAGCAACTGTTAGACAGGTTAAAGAATATTGAACTACTGCACAAACTCTACATCTTCCATTTAATTAACATATTGAACATACTGTCTATTATTGTCTTTATATTTGTTTATATTATTGTTCATTTCCAATTTTATACAATAAAACTGAAGTTTCTGTAACTGAAGAACAATAAAACATTAAATGAGATTCAACATGAGCAATAACTAATGCTAAGCTACGTTGGGCTACCAGGTCTTTATTTGAATATAATAATGTTTATCCAGAGCAGCTTTAATCTAAAGTCCCAGTGAACAACAGAGTTAACAGCTAATGGCGGACACACACGGGAACGTAGGAGCCGATCCTTTCTTGGTCATTCTGTTGGTTGCTGCAATGCATTGTGGGGCGTTATCTCCTGTGGTACCTAAAGGATGGTCCAGAGATACTAAAGGAAGCGGGACTCAGAGGATCCCGGCTGCCACTCACCTCGAAGCAGAACTCCTGTCCCAGGATGCTGCTGTGCAGAGGTTTGACGAACACGTCCTCCTCCATGCTCAGGTCCAGAGCCTCCACCGCGCTGCCCGGGCTCAGCAAAGACTCATGGGAGGTCGACTCCTTCAGCTTAGGGAGCCCGCGAGACCTGGAAGATGAGAGGAAGATTTAAATGTCTACACTGAAGTCCTCTGTGAACGAGACGTCGCTGCCAGGGGGCGCCGCCGAGCACAGTAGGAGCGCTCTGATCCCATGACAACGCCACGAGTGTTTGAGCTCGCCGCCCGCAGCCGCCCGCTGCCAGCAGTGAAACAGAGAGCAGCAATACCTACGAAAAACAACCACAGAGCCAGGTGAGGGGAGTTCCCCAGAGCATCCCTCCTCCTCCTCCTCCTCCTCCTCGACTCCCCCCTGCTCCCACCGTCCTCCCGCCTCGACCCCGCAGCACGCAGCGGCAGCTCCGTTCGCCACCAGCGCCTTTATGAAGCCTCCCCGCAGTCCGGGCAGGCGGTAAACAAGGTCCTGGGACGAGCCGATGGCGTCGGGCGCCTCCTCCGGGAGCGTTTCCATAGCAACAAGCTCCAGCGGGAGAGCAGGCGCTAGGCAGCAGAGCGTGACGCAGCGAGGAGCAAGGCAGGTGTTTAACTACAGACCGGTCTCAGGGGGGGCGGGGTTAATGAGAGGAGGTCAACTGCAGCTTCATCAGCAGGAGAGGATGACACTTTTCAAAATAAAGGTAGTTTACTCTCTTTTCCACTTTAATCTCAGTTGGAGAAAGTTTTGACAGAAACCTCCGCCATCTTGTTTTCTCTGATAAACGAGGTTCTACTGTACTTTACTTCTATCGGAGTATTTCTACTGCGCTGTATTAGTAATTTACATCCTGGATACTGCCCCCCCGCCCCCGACTGGAGTCTGATCAGCTGTAATCCTCCTGCTGTGTCAGATGAGTTACGTAATCCTGGATTAGTGGGTCGAGATCAACACTGATGCTTGTTTCACTGACGGCTGTCGGTGGCATGAGGCTCAGAATGAAGTATTTACATATTTAAGTACAGCCAGCGGAGACCTGTGGTTGTAAGTAGTCGTCACAGGAAATGCCGCCATCGATTATCTAAAAACATAATTTTCTACATTTGTTTGTAATATGTCAGCTAGTAATCAGGGTTCCCGCTCTTTTTAACAAATCATTTTCCAGGACCTTTCCAGGACAGTTTCCAGGAGTTTATCATATTAGCTGTGGTTTCGGGTGAATTCATTTGGCCACAGTTTATCAGTAACAGTTCAAATAAAGTCGAGTTTATTTTATTTTAAAGAGAATCTTTTAGAAAGTTAAAGTGTTTTATTATATTTATCGACCACAGCAACAAGAGACAATCTGTGTTTTCACTCATTAAAAGAACAAAGTTTTTAGTGTATAACAGAGGCTCTGTTCACATATTCATATAATATCATATTCTCTTACAGATCAGTGAATGTGATATTTTATAATGTAGTTTCTTCACAGAGTGAGATTTTACTTGATATATGAAAGGTTTATAAAATACTAAACATTGTTAAATATAAAACAGTCCTGTGACGTCTTATATAAACTGTAGCTGTGTGTCCTCGTCCCGTTTCAGTCTCTGAGGTCGACTTATATCCTGGTCCAGACCCAACCTGGTGATGTAGTCTAGACCCAGCTGGCCTCAGTCTCTGGTTCTGACATATTTAATACTGTTCACTATATGTGTAATCGAGTTATTGATCCTAACGCACTGACTGCACGGTTTGGGTTCGTCCCACAGGAAACACCAGTAACAACCTACCGGCAGAGGCTGAACTGCCAAGCAATAATTCATTGTTTGTTTACTCTGGAGAATTATTGTTATTATTGTACAACATATGTGAAAATCAATAAACATATTTGAATAATAATGTTTCAGTCTTTGAGAGGAGAGACATTTGTTTCTGTAGACGGTGGATTTGTTCAAACCTGTGAGATCAGGTGACAATCAGCTGCAACGCTCCACCGACCGAACACAGTCCGAAGCCTTCAACCGAATCCTGAGTTTATCTTCAGGAGATCTTTAAATCACTGTGTGTGTGTGTGTGTGTGTGTGTCTGTGTGTCTGTGTGTATTAGAATATTCTTATAAAAGTCTGAAACCAGACGCAGAGTTTGAGGAAGGGCTGGTCTCCTGCATTAGGACGGAAACCTGATCCACTGCTGTCAGAGGAAGAGGAGGAGGAAGCACTTACTGAGCTCTGACCACACACACACACACACACACACACACACACACACACACACGATTATTTCTAGGATATTTGGTTATTTTAATCAGTTTCCAGGTTTTCCAGGTCGCGTAGGAACCCTGAATGAGGCTGTATATAATGATAAACTCAGTTTAACACCAGCGCAGGGTCAACACACAGTTCGGGCCAACGATCAATGGAGACCCTGGTTTTTTTTTTTTAAAATCCCAAATTTTTAAATTTTCTGAATGAGGACTGTATTATAAATGATAAACTCAGTTTAACACCTGGATGAACGACAACGTCCACTGAAACCTTCCACTGGACCGGGCCTAAAGTCAAAATCTGTGCATAAATCACTTTATATTGATGATTTCAGTGGAGGACCCCGCCAGTCAAAGAAATGTCTTTCTTCGCCTCATTTTATTTTGAAGAGCGGATTCTCTATGCTGTTTGTGTATCTGACTTCCTGTCAGTGCAATCTGCCCTGAACAGACGGAGCACAGAGACCGACCTGACCGATTGATCCAGAGCTTCAAGGCCCCAAACGCTTGAGCTGGACCTCTGGAACAGACAACTGACCTCCGCCCGAGGGTCTCCATGTAGAGGCTTAAAAGTAATCAGTAAAAGCAGAGCAGCTGATAACAGTTAGGACCAGGATTAGTAAAGACCAGTTGGTGCAACCGATCCCTGGTGCACTACTTCCAGATCTGTTTCCTCTTTGGACCGACCACAAACAACAACAACAACAACAATGTTTTTTAGCTACACAGTAACAACTGCTGTCTGAGAGCGACAGCTGGTGTCCGATTGTTTCCTGTTCCATCAGCACGATGCCGCCGTATACAAAGCGGCTCCATTAAGGAATGATTCCCGGTTATCGTTATATACAGCCTCATTCAGGGTTCCTACGTGGCGGAAGAACCTGATTGGTCCACACAAGACCTCAACCCCCCCCCATCCAACATCAGTGACTGAATGTGAGCAAATCCCTGCAGCAACATCTGGATCATCACAAACACACTCCGGTCTGAAACGTCTCCTTCGTTTGTAGCTTCTCCTTCATTGTGATGACTCTGCAGTTCGGACCAGAGCTCAGAGAAACCCAGAAACAACTGTTCCATCACAGCAGAGCCGCAAGACGGACGTCAATAAAGGACGAAACCAGAACCCGTCGAACCGGATTCATACCGAACACACACACACGGTCCTACCTGAACCTCAGAGTTTTGGAGAGCTGAGCTTTTCGAGCCCTGCGGAGGAGAGAAGACGAGCCGTCCATCAGGAGTTAGAGCTCAGAGCTGACTGAGAGCGAGGCTGTGTGTGTGTGTGTGTGTGTGTGTGTGTGTGGAGCATTATCCTCCTGTCCAGCTGGCTGACAGTCTGTCCACTATAAAGCTCTCACTGCGTCACTGTACTGACAGATGTGCATCACTCATCATAATACTGCTGTCATTTTTACTCTCACAAATATTAGATGATTCCATAATATTAAAGGGGAGTATTCTGATTTTAGTCTGTCGTATATATAATGTCACAGTGTTAAACGAGGTCAGATAATGAGGTAAATATATGTAAAGTTAATCCATGAGAGCCAAAAAGCTCAGAATTCAGCTCTGAATGTTTCCAACCTCTTTTTCTACTTTATTCAACGTCGGTTCATCACATACTTCTTTAAATGCCACCAAGTAGAAGGATCCGTTCAGTCGGTCTCAGTTCTGGACCACTCTGCTTCAGGACTAACCCTTCAGGTTTCTGTCTGCAGAAAATGTTTTTACAGAGTTCACTGATGGACATTTTACCGACACTGCATCAATGCCCTGAGCTCACAGTCCAACCAGAGTCACCTTATAGGACAGAATAGGAAGTTAGCTGTACTGCTAACCAGCTAACAGCAAGGAAACTCCATCACAGAGAGTTAAAGCTGAGCAGCCGGAGGATGTCAGAGGGAAAACTAGCAAATATTTGCTCCATAAAATCACCAAAATCACGTCTCATTTGTGGTCTGATGGAAGGTGGATATTCTCTTTTGATACAGTTTCCCCCTGCTTACAGTGTTTACGCTAAGCTAGGCTAAACGCATCCTTTCTCTTTGTTGCACACGCAGATGAAACTGACGTATACTTCCCTGTTTTATTTCCTCCCTCTGTTTTACAGTTCGTAACGTTCACTGTGATGAATAATGACAGCAGCAGCAGAAATGTAGTAATCACAGTACTTTGTTTCTGTCCTGGTTTCAGATGACACCACAATAAAATATCAATCGGGGATTCTTCCATCGATTAGTCGCTAAATAAACATCGGGAAAAAATAATGTTGGGTGCTTGTGATTCCAAACTTGTCCAGGACAAAACCGTCAGCAGAGTGAAATGTGAGCAACAGCAGAGCATACAGGAGAGAGAGAGGAGAGCCAGCCTTCCAGTAAAACCACCTCCAGTCAGTGCTGGGAAGGCTGGGCGGGTTAATGGAGGGGCAAAGAGGACGAAGAGGAGGAGGAGGAGGAGGAGGAGGAGGAGGAAGAGAAACCCACAACATCCTAAAAAAACAATAGAAGAGCAACAGGAGCTGAGAAATTAATTAACCCTCCACCCTTCTCTGTGTGACAGACAGACAGACACAGACAGACAGACAGACACAGACAGACAGACAAGCCTGATTACTAGAGGAAACGCAGAGTCACCAGAAACAGAAGGAACAGAACCAGAACAGGAAATTAAGTTTAATATCAGAGCAGCGTCACTGCTGCTCAGTGTCACTGAACAACAAACTACAGCTTCTATCGCTGCCCGACGTACAGAAACACGGAGGTCGACAGTAAACGTCTTCATAAAGGCCTCATATATCCGAACCACTGAGACTGTGTCAAGACTGAATCTGGTCCAGATCTTACAGGCTCTGAATCTGAACAGTTTTGATGATTTCACACGAGCTTTAGACTGCGGGCGGAGGTCAGTTGTACAGTACACAGATCAGGACTTTGCAAAATGGTGTTTTTCTATATTTCAGACCAAAGACCGTATAAATAAAACAGTCTGTAGTCTCTGTGACATCACCCATAGGTTTGTGAAGCTCAGTGTGGTCGGTTCTGGCTGTTGCCATCAAAGAGCCGGCAAAGAGGTGGAGCTGAGGCGGGCTGAATGAAGCCTAAGTCCCGGCACCAACCTGTCACTCAAAGCATCCACGTCCTTAATTATGTATAACTTTAAGCCTTTAAGCTTTTAATATGATTTAAAGGGGTGAGTCGATAAAAAAATCATCCCCCGGAACAGAGAAATTAGCTATAGAGACCACAAGTGTTTTCTGTACCAGGCTGCTCACACAGCTGACAGCCGTCAGTAATGATCAGACGCTGAAGGATCATCACACGCAGAAATCTGCACATTATGTAAAGAAGCAGTTACCTGTCAGCGTCGGCAGGCCGGAGCGAGGGCAGTCTGAAGCTGGTGTTTCTGTCCAGTTTGGTTTGACTCTTCGTCCTCTTGATGGAGCCTTTGAGACGTTTGCTGAAAAATCCCTGAAAGATGAAAAAAAATGAGGACAGAAGATCAGATCGGTGTGGACAGATTGTTTACAGACGGCTGCTTGTTAAAGGTGGGGTCAGAGGGGAAACAAGAGGTCAGACTGCGGTGTGGAGGGAATCGAGGAAGCTAAAAGAGAAGGTAGGGTCATTACATCATAACACCAATGCTCTAATGCTGGTGGCAGTTAATTGAAGCCGATGGGAGAGTCATGGAGAAGCAAATGAAAATAAAAGGAAGAGAAAAGAAATGAAGAATTCAGATGTTATTGACAATATTTATTATCCTAAACTCAACACTGTCAAAGGAAACATCGTAACATTTTCTGATTCCTATGGTTCAATTTAATTTATCATCTACAGTTTTGATGATTTCACAAGAGCTTCAGACTGTGGGCGGAGGTCAGTTGGACAAACGTCCTGACTTGCAAATAAACAAAAGCGCACAAAATCTAAAGTGTGTTATGTCATTTGGTAGAGGGATCTCTTCAGCAAAGGTCATAAGACATGTTGGGTTTTAGTGCAACTAAAGTCTGGCACCAAACCAGGATCCTCCTCTATTAGATTCCTTGGAGGGGATGAGGATGAGGAGGCAGAGAGTGAAGAAGAGCTGCAGAGAGCAAAACTCCAGAGTGTAACGTCAGCAGTCTGACCATCAGACAGTGAGGGGGAGGAAGAAATATCTGCTTCACTGTACGTCTGGTAGTTTCCTGAACAGGTGAACAGGAAGTGGCAGAATATCATCATAAATTAGTGTTAAAGGGTAACTTTGGTATTTTTCTAACTTATTTTCCTGAGCTAGCCAATTTAGTGTTACATCAATCATTAGTTAGCTAGCATTTTGCTAACATTAGCTAGCTAATCTGAAGATAAGAATAAGAGCTTTTCAACATAGACGAGCTAGCACGTAGCACAGCAGATGGATGACTCAGCTGATATTGATCAAACTGATCAAACCCTTCACCTATCAGCTCCTCTGTGACAACAGTGCAGAGCAAAGGAAGTGAGCGGCCTCATTTCCTGAGATATTAATATCCTCAAACACATCTTCTCCCTCTCCCATCTCCTCACCCCCTCCTGTCCTCCCCCACAAACTCCCTTCAGGCTCATTTGGCTCCCATTAATGCATCAGAATAAAGCTCCATCCTGCCAGAAACCCTGCAGAGGGAGGAACAGTATCTCCACCGGCAGCCACACCAGCCGATCACAGCTATTGATCCTGATTATTAGTGAACGTTATGATCAGAAGACTGACTTGCTGGATGCGTTTATGATCTTGTCATTACTTCTGACTTCTATTAGGCTGCACTGACTCCCAGCATGCTCTCTGTCTGTATTTACTGTATGAAGAGATGCTCTAAAGTCTGACTGAACTAAAAATACTCAAGAGAGCTGCCTGTGAAGCTTCGACACAAACTCTGTGAGAGAAGTTGTGAACGATGTCAGCATCGTCAGATTCCCGATGTAACGATGACGAAAGGTTAATTTGTCCAGTAGCTGTCAGCACAAATACAGAAAGTAACTTCAAACCTGTTCTCAGTCAGAACCTGCAGAGCTGCAACTGATCCACCGTCTGTGAAACGTCACATAAAGTGATGACACAGCTACTGGTTTAGGAATCAGATAAAGAGAGTTGGGATGGGACGTGTTGGGCGGTTCTGGCCTCCACGGCATCTATTAATTCCCGATCACGGACACCCCGAAGGGCGTTATCCCATACACATTAACATACACCTTTCAGATCTTGGTAGTTTTTAAACTCTATATTTGAAGGATTTCAGTCATCGGACATCTGGATCTTAAGTTAAGCTGACCTATGCCCTGTATCTACAGCACTGACCTCTGCCGTGTATCTGTGGATAATTGGGCTCTCAGTAGAAACCTCCTGAACCATGAACACTGAAGAAATCCTAACCAGGAGAAGCTGACTGCAATGATGCCAATGGTGGTGAAGACAAAAACTCCCATGATCCCACGCTGCTTCACCACCTCATCTTTTTCTTATTTTTTGGATGTGAGAGAGCCCTCTAGTGGCAGGAAACACAGACTATGTTTAAGGTGTTTTAAGCAGCTGATGGCAGGTTTATTCCCAAGAGATGTTTTGTTCACTAAAAGGTTAATTAACATGTTCTTGTAACTTGTTGCGTCTCTTTATTTCTTCTTTCACAGCTTTACAGACTCACTTCCAGCTCCGTCAGACACATGGGAGCAGATGGTTAGCATGTTTGTGTGGATGACCTCTGAGAGCTGTTAAATATCCGTCACAACACTTGAGAGCCACGTTTGAACCTCCTGACAGCAGGAGATGAAATCAGTTAAATATAGTTCTCTCATTGATGTTTTCCACATAATGAAGCACGCAGCAGCTCTCCGACTACCTGCAGGTACAGTCACAGCTCTGATGATCCAATCATCGTGTTAATCGGGTTATGTGCATTATGAGTCTGCTGTTCTTACTCTGATAATCAGATAAAGACATTTACATGACAATTTATACAGATGGACTGTTGCTTTAATTGGGTTCCAATCGAATTGAGAGTAAAGGCGCAGACAATGTTTCTATCGTCAGTTTAAAAACTACAAACACATCAGAGAGTCTACTGACACTGCCAGCATTTTATTTTGAGACCAATAAAGAGACACTGCAGGACAGAGGAGATATTGAGCTCTCTTCAGGCTCTAACAGTGTGTGAAACATCTGAGCTATATAAGCACACAACGACATGTCACACACGCTGGTTTAAGACCGTATTGTGTACAGTGTTATTATCACAGCGTGCAGTTGATCCGACCTACAGTCGAGTTTCACACACCCAGGTTTACGTAATCTGAGTGAGGGGTACAATTACAATTTTCCAGGACTTTATACATTATTTCCAGGATTTTTGGTCATTTTAATACATTTTCAGGTGTTTTCATGACTGGAAAACTATGTAACATAGCCGGTATTTTACAGACTAGTTTACTGTTTTCTGAGTGTTTTCTTACTGTTATATTTTAATTTTCTGTTTAATCAACAGTAAAATTAGTTAGGAACATCTCTAGTAAAAACCAGCTGACATGTTCTCCCTCTCACTGGTTTCATCAGTAAAAGTTAATTTCTCACACTGAGTCTGAAGAACCTACCGGCACTTTAAAAGGCGACGAGTTCGGATTGTCCACAGTGACGCTCTTCTCCGAACTCCCCAGACCGGAGATACTCCTCCTCCTTGGAGATCGCTCCGAAGACACTTCTGCAGAGAGAGAGAGAGAGAGAGAGAGAGAGAGAGAGAGAGAGAGAGAGAGAGAGAGGTTAGATCAACAGAAGCAGCCTCTTCCTCCTCTGTTCAATCATCATCATCATCAGCCTCTGAGCTGCGGCGGACGGAGGATGTGGTGATGACATTCAGACATGATGGAGGAGAGACGACAGACGGCGGGTTGTTTAATGGCGGTTGATTCCTCAGTCGACACTTTTCTGTTTGTTACTTTAACTTTTACAATTGTTGAAACGACAACATCAAAAATGAACAAAAAGTAACTCAAACTCAAAAAGATTCTTGATGAAGCAGCTTTTACTAGTTTTAACTCACTCTAACTTAGTTTTAGAAGTTCAGTAAAATTCCTGATGAAGTACTTTTTACTGAGTTTACCAGCCAACAATTGATGTAAATTAGCTAGCTAGTTAGCATTTTGCAAAGATTAGGTTTTAGATGTAAATAGCTAACAATTAGCTCGCTAGTGTTTTACTCTGTTTGCTGTGCTAGCTAACCATCGAGCTAATGATTGATGTAGATTAGCTACCTGATCAAGAATGTTTTCATCTATCAATATTAAGTTAGTTTTACTTCAAAGTTTTGACGTAAACAGCTTCAACAACTTTTTTTGGTATAATTAACTTATCTGGTTTTACACTGTTGTACTTGCTAACTGTACTAGCCGCCACCAGCTAGTTAGCAATCCTATTAGCTGACTGTTAGCTTGAAGTACCGGGGGGGGGGTGTTTACAGCACTAGCACAGGAGGCGAGGGGCCGAGCTGCCGGCGAGCGGAGCCACAATGAGCACCAGAGCCAGAGCGGCTGGTGACCACGGCCGGGTCCGAACACTGGTGATGTGCAGCGGCTACAACCAAGACTGTGACTCCGGGGATGATGAAGACCCGGCGGGTTCGGGAGGGGGCAGTTATATTAACTGTTAGCGTACTAAAGTCGTAGGTACGCTGTAGACTGACGTGGCCCTCCCTAGAAATGTAACCACACACACTGCAGCGCCACAGACAACGACAAATGGTCTGCTGGGCGTCCATGTTCAGATAATGGGGAGCGACTCAGTGGAGTTATATTCAAACACACACACACACACACACACACACACACACACACACACACACACACACACACACACACACACACACACACACACACACACACACACACACACACACACACACACACACACACACACACACAGTAATGGGATGCTGCCTCGCTGCACGACATGCTCCTCTATGCCCCGTCGTATTCCCTCGTCCTGACGCTTTACAGGCGGTGGGAGGAATAAAATGAAGACAGCTTGAGGAGAGAGATGAGGGAGAGTTTCAGTGGCACAGAAACCTCCACCAGCGACAGGCAGTTAGACGCAGAGACACCAGCACACAGGTCCAAATACTCCGAACGCTGCAGGTAACTTACATAAGGTTTAAATCCAACCCTGGGTGTCACTCTCTCGCCTGTCTGTCCTGTTCATTTCTCCAACTGTCGCTGTCCTATAAAACATGAAATCCCCCAAAATATCTACTACTGTATAATAGTATAATATATAATATATAGTAATTAAAATTATTAAAAATGTGTTGCTGTGTTTTCAGTGTGAATCTCCCCGATTACCTTAATCTAAAAATAATTATCCTATTTTGCTGTGTTTCTTTATATGTGATTTACAGCCTAATATTACGCTATATTACAGTTTAATAAGTTGTATTCTTCATCAAATCAAATAGGGTTCGCTCGTCGTTACAGTTGGACCACTGGAACCGTTTTTTAAAAGATAGATTTATAGTTATGGTTCTCGCTGTGGATGTTCCAGATCCAGATTTCTCTGTTCAGGAAAACAGTTTCTACTGTCAACAGATCGCTAAAGAAACCAACAATGAATTTATTGTTTATGAAATGATCTGTGCAGCCGCAGCCTGATGCAGCTTATCCCTCTGTGCCATACAGCTTCATTACTGGTGCACCTGGATCTGATCTTCCTTCACGACATTAAACCTGACAGACAGCTGCTGTGTTCCTGACCCGTCTGTCTGTCTGAGGGCACAAAAGTGTGTCAAGGACAGACAAACAGACAGGTTCAGAGCCCTGCACATTCTTCCCACTAATGATGGTTTACGAGTCGAGGGAGTTCAACCTGACGGACTCCTCCATGTGTTAAATCCAGCACGGTGTGTCGTCCTGACCAGACCAGGTCCTCAGAGCTGGCTCACGTCCAGGTTCATTGATCTTAAAGCTAATTTTAGACCCTCTCACTTCCTCTCCAGCTCACTCAACAGCCATATTGTCTGAGGTTGTTGCAGTCCGGCTCTGGAGGCCCCGAGAGGCTATCGAGCCGGCTCTCGAACCGCCTACGAGTCTGTGAACAGCTGCAGGGACACTGCCGACACCGCTTCAGCAGGCAGGAAGCCAAAAATAACTCCTCACCTCCTCACGGCAGAAGGAAGACATGTGGTGACAGAGGATCTCCTGAGGTCCTCTGAAGGATCCAAAACCACCAGCAAAACCAGGACTAGTTTCAGTTCACAAGAATAAAATCCTCTGCTACTGACAGACGTTTACAGGGGAACGAAATGATCTTCTGGGAGACTGTGGGCAGCAGCACAGGTTGTAAACACATCACCTGTCATATTATCACACAGCACTGGATGCTAACATGTTAGCAAACAGCGTCCTGCTTCCACATGCAGCAGCATCTCATTGGAGTGTTTGTGTCCACCAATAGAGCGTATGTTTGTAGTCCAACCCAGAAGTAGACGCCGTCCTGGTTCCTTCCACAAAAAGACAATGACGCTGGTGACACGATGAGGAGTCCTTCCCATCCTCCCTGTGATCATATTAGTGAATCAGCGTCTAATTTGTGGTTGTATTTTTTATTAATGCAAGTTATCAAATTGGTAGTAATGTGACAGAGCAGCAGAGGAAGCAGTGCCGCACCTAAAACACATACAGGTCATAAAAGTGCAGCCGTTTGTTCAGCACAGAGTTAGTTCGTCAGGAAATCTGTGGCGAGCACAAACGCCGCAGTCTGCGTAGTTTCAGTTAGCAGTGGCGCTCACTCACAGAGCTGTCGGACATCACAAACCAACTTTCATGTCGAGGCAGATGACCACCCACCTAGAGTCGGGGTCTGTCCGAGGTTCCTGCCTCTTAAAGGACGTTTTTTCCTTGCCACTGTCTCCAAGGTCTTGCTCATGGTGGTACTGTTGGGTCTCTGTAAATAATGTTATAAAGAGTTCGGTGTAGACCTGCTCTACTTGAAAAGTGTCCTGAGATAAATTCTGTTATGAATTGGCGCTAATTGAAAATGTCCTTTCCTTTGACCTGCAGCATCAGGAGCAGGAACCAAACACATGGCTTTAAGATGAGACAGGTGTGTGCAGTTACACCTGCGGCACAGCAGCACGTAGCTTCACTAACACGCCGACCGACTGCAGGATAATGTCAGTAAATGCCAGTAAAGTGAACACGGCTTTAGATGTAAAAATATTCTGGCGCTGCCTCTCGCTTCCTCCCGTCCCCGGAGTCAGAGTCCTGGTTGTAGCCGCTGTAAATCAGCTCAGTGCCGTATTCCCTGTTGTGGTTGAAACAAACCATCTTCAAACTGCGGTTGTGTCTCTAACATACTGCTAGGTTTAGTCGATCTACAGGACAGATTTTGAGGATATGTGGCCATTTTAATCCATTTCCAGGTGTTTCCATGAGTGGAAAACTAGTCTCTAAATTTCAAGGTTTTGCAGTTTTTACAGGAAGTATGGGAACCCTGATCTTTGCGCCTGATATCAGACATCATATAAATCATTTTGTGATTATTTTGATGGATATTGTGATTGATGATTAACAATGACAGCTGTTTTTCCTCTCACTCGGCTCAGTTTACTGCGACAATGAACGTCTGTCACCGAGCAGAGCATCAAATATTAAATAACAGAAATCAGCCAAAAATACAACAATCGCAGATAGTCAATGTATTCGTCCAACCCTTCTAACAATAGATAAAAATGATCAGTAGTGTATCTGTAACTCCTCCTGTGGGCAGCCATACATGGAGGCTGCTGAACAGATAGTGAAACAGCTGGAATAATATAGAATATCTTCACAGGAGAAGTTAGGATTGCTGACAAATGCTGTACCTGAATAACCCTTTAATAACGTTGCAGTGTTCAGTAAAGTGTCTCCAGCAGTTTATCAGATAATGAGCTCATACACAGAATCAACAGTTTTCACATGGATACTGAACCAAACAGCGACACATTAAATCAGCACCGTGTGGAGTTCACAGGATGTTTAAATGGTATGAAAACACATGAACGTGCCGCCGGCTGCAACAGGAAGGACACCGAGCTGGCTGTAACGGAGCCACAGTGAACGCAGCATGCAGCAGCAGTCAGCGTTTATTCAGCAAAGTGCTGGATCAAGTTCCAGCTGCAGGGCTGCATGCACACAGCGCTGCCAGGGAGCCGGGGACAAACTTTCATGCACATCCCCTCCCATCCCCTCCCATCCCCCCAAAACGTGCCACCCGAGGTCGGGGGGGAGGGACGGCGGGGAAGTCGATGGTCCCAAAACCACGGACACAAAGTTGAGGCAACATGCCGCAGGAAGCCAGGTATGACAAGTGGGTCACATGACATGGACAGAAACACAGCGATAGAGATAGAGATAGAGATAGAGAGAGAGGAGGGAGAGAGAGAGAGAAGAGACGGTACCTCGATCACAGCTGTTCCCCATCATCTGAGGAGAGGACACACAGAGTCAGACGGGATTGGCCGAAGCAGCCGCCACCTGTCAGCCAATGAGGTTAAGCTGCAAACGTCCGTCTTCGTCCCGCGAACATCCTCGACTTGGCGTCCCCCCCCCCCACTCCACGGACCTCCTCAGCACCGCATCCTCCTCTCTCCTCCTCACGGTCCTCTCACATCTCTGCCCTTCTCCCTCTCTCTCGACTGCCCTCGCTCTCCACTCAGCAGTAATTCTAAACCTC